AGTACACATTATATATTGCACTTGCATACCCCACTTGTAATATGTAATTATCTGTTCATTATGATATAATTTGTTATTCCTGTATTAATAAATTCAGTTTATATTGACTGCAGATTTGGCTTTATGTCATTTGTCATTTAATCATCCAGACACGAGTGTCAGTGTGTCAATTCTGACTGTACTGGCAGGCCTGATTAGACACTTGTGCATGACTATATGATAGTCACATTAACCTTACCTGGGTACTATCATTAATGCATAAGTGTGTCATGGTACTACCTATTATGAGATGGGAGAACATATTAACTGAATAAAAGGTTTCCATTAATATAGGCCAATGCTTACAATGTTGTGTCCGACGAAGGGAATTCAATATTTGATTAATTTATATGCTTATGTCATATTTTATGTCACTAAATTGAAATGAGAAGCATATTATATGGCTATTTCTATATCATGCATTATAAATTACCTTTTGATATGCTACATGACTATGTTGTAATAAGTTTATGAAAATATTTTTGTCTCGAAATGGTGTCGCAAGCAATTTTTGGAACTCTTATCACCCCACAATGATAGCAACAGAAATAAAATGGAAACATATTTGTTTCTGAATCCATGCACAAGAGTCATTTCAATTAGTGAGTGAGTGAGTGGGTGAATATGGTTTTACGTCGTTTTTAGCAATATTCCAGAAATATCACTGCCGGGGACACCACAAATGGGCTTCACACATTGTGCCCATGTGGGGAATCGAACCCAGGTCTTCGGCGTGACGAACGAACGCTTTAACCACTAGGCGACCCCACCGCCCCCATTACAATTAGATGTGGTTCCAACATTTAACATGATATTCCCACGGAATTACACAAGCCCCTGCACTACAACATGTTATCAGCAAATCTTTCTAACTTTCATTTTTTTAACCCAGCTCTTTCAATGGCTTTCTGCCTCTATGCACATGGAAACAATTATCGTAACTATGTTTTTATTATGCTCGTTTGTTTATCCTTCGGGCGCACAATTAATGTGGATTTAACATATGCCTGATCTATCCAAGGCACGCATCACTTGGACCCAGCATTAAGCAAATATCAAGTTTCATTTTTTTACAGCTCGATAACTTAGGAAATTAATTGATTTCGTTTCTAATAAGAACATATGAGGACTTCTCAACCGACAGCTGCTCAAAGATGGCAAGTTATTGATATGCAAAATATTGGCATGTTATTAAGGGCTGTTGCCAGAGATGTTGGCTGTCATCCATCGACTATCAGACGATTGGTCAGAAATTGTCAGCAAACGTATGACGTTAAGCACCGCCAGAGTTCATGTTGACCACGAGAATACAACCCTTGTAAGAATCACTCCTTTCTAAGACTTATCCGTTGAAGTCAAGTGGAGTGTAAAAACTGAGGTCCTTCCACATTGTCGTTTGTCCAACGGAAATCTAAAATCGCCTGAAATCAGTCGGGAATAGAGCCGACGAGCTGTCAGACATCCGTTGTTATTCCTAGGGCACAAAGTAACACGACCAGGTTAGTGTCAAGATCGACATCCCTAAACTTTGAGGCCATTGGGAAAGGTTCACTAGTTATATCAAAAAATATTTCTCTTGTTCATGACTGGTCGCCGAGATCATGTTTGGCGCCCTCGAAACACTGCATTTCCCAAACGAGTGAGGGAATATTGCCATTTTTAGCAATATTCCACGGTGGGGAACACCAGAAATGGGCTTCAAACATTTTACCCATGTGGGGAACAAAACCCGGCTCTTCGGCGCGAGGGGCGAACGCTTTAACTACTAGGCTACCCCACCGAATATCCTGGAGCGAGAACTGTTTGGCGGGGTTTATTAATGTTTGAGGGTGCTCTCACATGACTGTAAACTTGACCACGTGACGACCAGACTAAATCGGAATGAACGCCGGTGTTTCACTGTAACCCAAGACAGAGTTCTTATACCACATTTCTGAAACTCAGACATTTCGTAGTTTTCCAGAACTGACATTAAATCTTTTTCACTTTCAGTTGTTTTGTTTTGAGAAATACACACTTTTCTGAGGTATTTTTTAGTATTAGAATTCTTTTTGTCTCTGTACCAATTGTAAAGTTAGATGAATATGATAATATGTCTACAACCCATCCTCGCTCAAGTGGATGAGTGAGTGCGTTGTGGTTTACAATCTCCAACAATTACCCAGCCATATTTATGCACGTAATAATACACCCACAGGCTGTTTGGTCCTTGGCGTTAGGAGCAAACGCTCAATCCGCCAAGGTTGTATATGTGTCGAACGGAACAAGGAGATACATTATCCCATAAATTTTAAAGGGATATTTGGTTTGAACCTTCATCTTCAGAAAGTAATGTTTGCTTTAGCTACCAAAGAAGTCAAACGGATGCTACCGAGGATTCTATTGAGTGATACCCACATGTAAAGTAACATAAACTCTGTCAAAAAAAGAAACGCAACCCCTGTATTTTAGAGATTTTGATCTGAAGTTTTAAGACGACACAGCATTTTTATTATGTAAGACAGAAGTCTGAAATTTGGCAGAATAATAACCAAGATGGGCATGTTTAAAATTGTCATTTCAAAAGTCATCTCACAGACACCAGTTTGTCACCAGGGGGGGCGTCTTTCTCAGTATCTCGTATGAGCACCACGAGCTGCAATCACTGCACGGCATCTCCTTGGACAAGAACGGATAAGACGCCGGATTCTTTCCTGGGGAATGGCTCTCCACTCCTCCTGCAGTGCAACGGCGAGCTGTTGCAGCGTCTGTGGCGGCGGCTGACGTTGACGTACGCGTCGACCCAGAGTATCCCACAGGTGTTCAATAGGGTTGAGGTCTGGTGATTTAGAGGGCTATGGCAAGACATTGACGTTGGAATTCTGCAGAAAGTTCATTGTTGCACGTGCAGTATGAGGCCGGGCGTTGTCTGGTTGAAAAATCTGTGTCTGTTGGTCAATAATCGGGAGAAGGTGAGGCTGTAATACGTGGTTGATGTAACGTTGGGCTGTCTGGTTCCCTTCAACGATCACCAAGTCTGATTTCTGGTTGTATGAGATGGATCCCCAAACCATAACGCTTTCTCCGCCAAATCTGTCCCCCTGTCGGACGCAGATGGGCGCAAAACGTTCATGACGTCTCCTATACACACGTTTTCTTCCGTCGTGACGTTGCAAAAGAAAACGGATTCATCAGAAAACCAGATGCGCCTCCAGTTTTGTAAAGTCCATATCCTTACGTTGTTGCACCACCTGAGTCGTCGGCGGAGATGTAGGGGCGTAGTACAGGTCCAACAACTGGTCTACAGGCACGTAAACCCGCTTCTTTCAGACGGTTCCTAATCGTTTGAGCTGACACTCTCCTCAAACCTGGTATTTGTGTGGCAGTCACGGTTGGTAGGGCATGCCGATTACGCAGGTGATGGACCCGGATGTACCGATCTTGAAGGGGGGTCGTGATTCTTGGCCTTCCACTTCTCGGGCGATCGTTGGTCAAATTGAAGTTGTTGTAGCGGCTCCAAAGTCGGGATATCGTTGTTTTGTGAACATTTAGGTGCCGTGCAACAGTTCCAAAACTTTCTCCGGCTTGAACACGACCAATGGCGATATTTCGGTCGGCAGCACTCAATCGTGGCATTTTTAACACAGCTTTTCGGCGACAAATGAATGAATATAATACGAAAGCACATGGGCTTTTATACACCCCTACATTAACTGCCATTTTCATGATTTGCATGTGTTTTTTTTTGTGCGAAGTCACCATGAGGGTCATTTCATGCGTTGTGACGGAATAAGCAATAAAATACACTTATGCGTACAAATGCAGTTGTTTGGATGGTAATCTTCATTAATTACGTGTATAATTTCAATACATTCGAATAAAATTTAGTTTGGAAGCAATAACTTCATTCAAACGAATTTTTCATATCTGAGGACAGGGGTTGCGTTTCTTTTTTGACAGAGTTTATTATAGACTTCCCTTCAACACAATAGACTTGCACTTCCATTTAGCACATGACGCATGACACGTGACATATTATTAAAACCACACCAGGATCTCGACTAATAGTACCTCCATGGATCTGTGTTGATGGTAGAACACAAAAGGAAGTTCCACGGCCAGACAAAACAAGTCAAAACATTGATTACACAACAATCTCGTTTCCTACTGACTGGGTTCCGTCCTATTGCGCAAATTCGCACAATAACCAGTCCAGAATTTTGAGACCACTTCATTCAACTGGATGCATAAATATTAATCAATATTATTAATTTTGATACATTGCAACACTACGCCCCTTCTAATCCTAGCAAACACGTCGTGCAGCGTGCTCTGTCGTACACAGTTCTCTGACAAACGGAAATCTGGAAATCGTGGAAATCTCAAAACGAGGCTCTGCCGCTAGAAAAGTTTTGCGGTCTGGTACGGACTTGATATTAAATCAATCACATTGTGCGGTACACAAATACATTTAATAAGCGCAAAAAACACATAACAGGTGTAACCAGTGAGCTAGATGAATTTAGAATCATTGTACGACCTCTTCAAACAGTGGCCATGGCAGTCTGTGACGTCTTAGTTAAAGTCATGCTGCCTACACCGAGCCATAAAATATAGAAATACGATGTTATTAAAGTTTAAAATTAAAATTAAGTTGTAAATACCATTTTCTTATGAAACAGGGAATTGGAATTCAATGTAACCATAGTTGTGTCTCTTTTCACTTTCACACGAGAAAAATCGGATCCGCTGAAAAGTAGGTCATTGTCTGAACTGGTTTATAAGACTCATGTTTCGGTTTGTTTATGACTACAACGCCATTTCTTTGATCTAAAATGTTTGGAAAGAAGTTATGTATGCCTATCATAAGTACAGTTTCTGTGGTATGATCTAACAAGATAATTTGACTCAACCAACAAAAATATCAAACACTCATCCAAGCTTTGATATATGTAAACGTACAAAGCAAAAATACCAAAATATACCTTAAACACCATTTATTTCTCTGAATAAGTGTTATCGTCACGTACCGGAAGTGACGTAGCTACTTCCGGTCGCCGCCATTACCTCCCATCATACCAGGCATCATGCTTTGCATGTTACTGAGGTATGTTTGGCCGAAGTCGTCGGCGAACTTGCGGCCGGCATCGCTGCCACATTGGCTGTTGACACGACGAAGCAGGTGTTGAAAGATCCTGAAAACATAAATGGTTAAAGAATTTAAAATCTTTCAAACTGGCGAGTTTCATTCAAGACAATGCTTTGTCTTTTCCAGACTCGATTATTTACAGACTGACGCCATACAGCTGGAATATTGCAGAGTGCGGCGTAAAACTAAAGTCACTCACAATAATCTCAGAATCAGCAGAATGTATGTGAGTGGATCTATGTTAAACTGAGGAAACTGAGGAAAATTTACGGACTACCAAAGGATTTTCTGTGTTCATCCCGTTGATAAACGATGATCATGACGGAATCAGGCGAATAGCGAGGAAGTGTCATTCGGAATAGCCCGTGCTAACCTTCCCAACCCGGTTGGATACCCTGACACATAACAGTAGATATTCTATATATCTAGGGTTCGCATTTCGGCAAACCTACACTGGAACCATTCCCGTCTCTCAAATTACCCGAAGATCCGGGTTAGAATTGGTCTTCAGTAACCCATGCTTGTCGTAAGAGGCGACTAACGGGATCGGGTGGTCTGGCTCCCTGACTTGGTTGACATATGTCATCGTATCCCATTTGCGTGGAATGATGCTCATACTGTTGATCACTGGATTGTCTGGTCCAGACTAGATTACATACAGGCCGCCGCCATATAGCTAGAATAGTGCTGAGTGCAGCATTAAAAAAAAAAACCAACCAACCCGCTGATAGATTTGCTACTTTGTCTAACGCACTAATCCAAATGCGAAGGCAGAAAAAACAACCGTTGAAAATCACTTCATGAATCTAAAGGTAAACTTTGAAACACATTTACGTACTTCATGTTGTATTCCTCGTAAGACATGATATTCCGGAAGATGGCGGCGAGGCCAGCAGAGTTGTCGCTGTTCTCGATGACGTCACAGAGAGTATGGTTCTGGTACAAACAGTCCCAGATGATGTCGTCAGTGAGAAGGATCTCCTCAGCCTTATCGTTAATCTGAGAGCACCTGCGGCTGTTTACAGCCTCGAGGAGACGCTTCTGGGTGCATTTCCGGTAGTTAAGGATATAACTGTTACCCTGAAATTATTGGAATTAATACGGTAATGATAAACATGTCTTAACATAACAATACAGAGCACACATTCAAATTTCATAAATGCCACATGTGCTCAAAAACCAATTATACCCGTGAAAATTCGTCTTCAGCAACCCATTCTAACGGGATCTGGTCAGACTCGGTGACTTGGTGGACACATGTCGACGTATCCCAATTGTGTAGTCGATGTTCATGCTATTGATCACTGGACTACTCGGTCCAGACTAGATTATTTACAGACCGCTGAGTTTTGTTATACGCCGCTTGCAGCAATATTCCAGCAATATCACGGCGGGGGACACCAAGGTTGAACAAAAATGACAACATTTCAAATAGTGGCATAGCATACACATTACGTGTTATTGGCCACTAATACAAAGCACATTTAACACACCTCCTTAATTATAAGAATATAACATTTTAACTAAATGACCAAAAAACGTATACGTGTGCTGCTACATATCATTAAATATAGTGGATAAACATCGTAATAGTATTTTAGCTACCGCATAACCAATGTGCTGGACCAGTTGTATCTGTCAATACCTTTTAACCCCTAACTCTTTCTAAGATCAAAGCCCTTGCAGAGGAATAAGTAAAAAAGTTACAACGGTGAGTTTCTACTACTAAAGGGTCAGATATTACATTCTGACAGTTCTATAGTATTTCTAAGAAATTTTTAAAAATGTTAAGGATCGATAGAATATTGTGATTTTAAGAAAATGTAACTTTGTGGTTTATGATTGAATTAAGTTGCACTTAGAAAATCGTTTTTCTCAGTCAAGCAATCGTGCGTAAACTCACTAAAGGCATGACGAATTGTTAGAGATCGTCCCCACTATCAGGAAACGTTAAACAACGTGAAGGGAGAGATGTATTGTCGGGGCTGGAACTAAAGGTTGTGGCAGTCGAGGGCCTGGTTGCCGTTGTACATAGCGATCTTAGGGCTAAGGTGACCGTAACTCCCATACAAGTACCTTAACATAGACCTCAGATAGTCTTAGCTAATAGTCTTTATACTAATCATCACTCTTTTACCGTGATAAACAAAATATACTTACCCTGTAATCAAACTGGTTCTGGTCCTGGACGTCCTCGGATTCAATACACACAGATGCGAGGACTTCGAATGCTGGAGAGTCACCCACTTTGCAGACTTGCTGGGTGTTGAAAAAGCACAAATAGAACGAGCAGTCACCGTTGGCACTGAGATCGGCACAGAGCTCGCGGCCACTGGGCACTTCCGGAGTGGTGGTTGTCGGGATGGTCGTTGTTGTTGTTCTTCTGGTGGTGGTCCGGCGTGTCATGGTCCCTTTACAAGTAGACATGATGACAATCTTAAATTGACAAACAATATCGCATGTGTATGTTGGAGGGGCTTAAGATGTCTTTAAGTACGTTTGTTGTTTAAATTTTCTCGTTTGTTTGTTGTTTAACGCAGCAAACTGCAATATTCTAACTATATGTCGGCGGCCTGTAAATAATCGAGTCGGGAAGAGGCAATCAAGTGATCAGCAGCATGTGCATCGATCATGCATACGTTGACATAATTCAACCAGCGAGCCTGACCAGCCACTCCTGTTAGCCACTACTTATGACATTCATGGGTTGCTGAAGACCGTTTCTAACTCGGATCGTCGCGGACCGTGGTTTTGGCGAGTTTCCTGGTTAACTCCGCTGACCCGGTCAAATGGGTCCATAGTGCCATGTGTATGTTCTGAGAGCCTTCGGTTCGATCCCCGACCGCGTCATACCAAAAGACGTTAAAATATGGTACTTGTTGGTCCCTGCCTCGCGCTCGGCATTAATGGGTACATCAAGGACTGGTCGGCTCGGAGTCAGTATAATATGTCTGAGTGGGATCTTCATGCTTCACTGTGGCATGGTATCTCAGTGGGCTAGCACTATAAAACCAGCTTCAGTCTGGGCTAGTACAAGCAGCCTCACATACACACGCATGCACGTCGTCATATGAGCGAAATATTCTCAAGTACGACATAAAAAACCCAATTTCACCTCACCTCACCTCTGAGAGCCTTCTTTATGAGGACCAAAGGGACAGGATCTGTGACTTAGAAATTTGTGTGTCCTGACACAACGATTGTATGGATTTCTTTTCTGCATTTTCCAATTTCTAATTCGTTTAGTCCAGATTTGATTATTAGCAGATTTTTTACAGCTTCAAACATCATGCCCTCACTAACTCATGTAAACAGGATGAAGTCGTAGCAAGAATATTATTCAATAAAATACAAAATGTATTTTGCATTTTGGTGCGAGTGTACATGTGCTACGTAACTGAGAACTAATGAATTGTCAACAAAGTAATCACTTGTTTTCCTTTAAACCAAAGGGGCCTCTAACTGCCCTACCTGGTTATAATGCCACTCTGGATATAATGCCATATTTTCTTCTTAACAAACGGTGGCAATATAACCAGGGTATACTGAACATGAAAAAGAAATTCGACCATCGTCTTCACGCAAACTCAAAATAACAAAAATAACCACTTTTCGTCCTGTGTAACATACCTTGGGGCCATGGGTCTATGGTTGTCCTCACTGGTTGCCTACCATAAAAGGCGGAACAATGAGCCACGAAGGCTACCAGGACAAGGAGGCAGATCTGGACCTTCATTTCGCTTCTGTAGATAACTCAGTTGCAGAGGCTGAGTTTCACAAATGTTTCCTATTTATACAACCCGGTAAGAGGAAGAAATTAAAGGTGCATTTATGATATATTTTAATTGGCTGCACACAACTCGTTCATTTTCTGATTGGACCAATCGGAACTGCGGACTGTAGTGTGTTGTGTTTGTGTTGGATAGGTGGTGGAGGAAGTTAAACAAATCAGACTAATTACACACGCGATTACGTTAAGCCGTTTGAGCAAATATGTTGAGCTCAGGGCAAGTTCTATAGTATTTGTGGGGGCGGTGGGATAGCCTAGTGGTTAAGCCTCCGCTCATTGCGCCGAAGACCTGGGTTCGATTCCACACATGGGTACAATGTGTGAAGCCCATTTCTGGTGTCCCCCGTCGTGATATTTCTGGAATATTGCTAAAAGCGGCGTAAAACCCAACTCACTCACTCACTCTGCAGTATTTGTAAACTATTTGGTTGGGCGATACGTGCATATATCAACTTCACTTGTTTAATATAACTGATTTTTTACCAAACAATTTAGATTTTGTTTTATAAATAAGTGTTTATCCACTGAAGAGAATATAAATGTCATTTATATACATCTGAGTAGTAATTATGGTACATTTGTAACTTTTCATTAAATTTTGTTGTTTAAAGGCACAATGTCACACATTTTCGACAATATTTTGGCCCATATGTTATATATTAGGGGCATGCACTCACTTTAGCTAAAGGACATATTATCCCTTAAGACTTGAGTGAAATCGATAATTGAAACTTTTAGGCAAACAGATAACACTTGCCATATATGGTATGTAAACGAAAAATGTCGCACGAGGTGTTGTCGGTGTTTGCCGAACTGGTTTTAAAGACAAGTAGGATATTCGTGTGGAGTGCTCCAAGGAACGTAACTCTGTGGGGTTCGCTTGAAATATTGTTCGGCCGGTAGAGTGCGCGAGAGTTTGATTTAATATTGTAATCTGAATACTTACTTTGTTTTTGGAATACATTATATGGTAGCTTCCCCGAAAGCTGACAGAAATACATTATGTATTTGTAGAGAAGTTTGGTGTGACATTGTGTCTTTAAGGCATTTCAATTGTATGGGGTTTTTTTCTGATTTTGACGGTGGCAAGGATTGGAGTGAAATTAATGTTGATTATGTTTTAAGATATTTTGTTCACATATGCGGAAAGGATTAGGAATACTTTACAAGCATAGGAACCCTGCTCCCACCACCGTTAGTACTATCTGGGACATTTACAGAATACAGATTGATTAAACAGTGTACACAAATAAACATCGCACAATTGCTAAAACCGTCTATCATTGTGTACATTGTCGATGGAATACCTAACTGGGCCAACGTTGTCTTTTTTACTATTAAGACCATGGATAATTCCAAAGAGGGGTACACTGTGTAAAACCATTCTTCATCGGTACGGTTGTGATCTAGCTTGAAAAATACTAATTGGTTGTGGCTGTTACTGCTGTTGCTGTTTCTGTTGATGACGACGACAACGACGATGATGATGATGATGTCCACGACGACGATGATGATGGTGATGCGCTTGGTTATATATTTGTCCTGTCAGCGATGTATATAACTCTGTTTAAACACATAATATGTTCCTTAACGGAATGTGTTATTACTTCCCTGCTGTGATTTCTTAATTCATTCCGTCACCTGTGGGGGTTGTGGGATAGCCTAGTGGTTATAGTGTTGGCTCGTCACGCCGAAGGCCCCGGTTCGATTCCCCACATGGGTACAATGTGTGATGCTCACTCCCTGTGTTCCCCGCCGTGATATTGCTGGAATATTGCTAAAAGCCGCGTAAAAACATACTCACACCCAGTCGCCTGTGCTCCATGGGACCTTAGAATGTATAACGAAATGTACCTAAAGAAGGCACGAAAACTTTAAAAACTGTTGTTCGGCATTTAAAAAAGCTGCTACATGGATAAATATCTAACTGAGAAATAATGATGGTTGATTGACTGAAAACCATCATCATTATCCCCAACATCATCAACTCGAGATGTCTAAGATGAAGTCTTGGTCCCAGAAGAATGTATATTAATAATAATGTTTAAAATGAAACCCGCATGTCTCGAGCTGTCAATATGGCGTTTCGAGTATTAACGTTTTTGACAATTTCTATAATTAGAATGGGTGAGTGAGTTTAGTTTTATGCCACTTTTATCAATATTCCAGCAATATCACGGCGGGGGACACCAGAAATGTACCCATGTCGGGAATCGGACCCCGGTCATCAGCGTGACAAGCCCACACTCCAGCCACAAGACTCCACCACCCCTTCTGTAATTAAAAATATTATAGGATGCTACAGGTCAGTAGCAAAGATCAGACTTTCCGTGACGTTTTTCTCATTTTGTCTGGTCAGGTACAATTCGCCATAGTAATTATAGTGAGAGGTCTGTGTTTGCAATACCTTGCGGGAACCCCTGCTGAGTACACATCCCCTTGCTGGTACAGGGGTGTTGTCGCTGTTAATACACGCCGCCAGATTACGTCGGTGGTTTAACTTTTCATCCAACCTTAAGCTTCTCATTGGTAATGCGTGCACATACTCAGCATTGTTGTGTTTACGTTTCGCTAACACTCTGCAGTCATGGGTTAAACACAATATTGAAACAGCTTACTGGCGACATTGCTCTGAGTGAGTGAGTGGGTGGACTCTGCAATATTTCGGCTATATCGTGACTATGAAAACAATATAAAAAAAAATAAATTATATCGTAAACGATGTGAATATCTGTCAACAAAGGACAGTATATGGAAAAGCCCAGAGTTAGATTTACAAACAAGTAACCATCAAATTATATTTATCTGAGCGACACAATACAAAAACAGGCTATATATCGCCAACAACTGAAGGTAGATCACCATACTAGAGACTATGGTGACTTACAGTGCATTTGTTACATGCATGGCCGGCCCCGAGCTGGATTTACACCATCCCCAGCTATTATAGATAAATATAGCCACGAATTTAAATAACATATATGTTAATAGAAATCATTCAATGTATATAAAACTGACAGAACCTTAACAAATGTTTAAATTTTGCATTTATGATATTCACCAAATCTACATTACATCTACATGCCAGCTGTATAACGTTAATGCTCGATGTAAGTGAATTTTGATCGGTGTTCGTCAAGCTGAACACGTTGCATAAATATACTCATGCCAATAATGGTTGTCACCCACCCCTCACGACCCCAACCCCACACACACCTCACACCCCCACCCCACACCCCCTCTCCAATTAAAAAAATTGAAGGGGGTGACAACCATTATTGGCATGAGTATACATACAAAGCCGTATTTCTGTACATGAGTTTAAACATGGATCGCATGTAGAGTGAGTGGATTTAGTTTTAACAATATTTCAGCAATATCACGACAGGGGACACCAGAAATGGGCTTCACACATTGTACACCTGTGGGGAATCGAACCCGAGTCCTCAGCGTGACAAGCGAACGCTTTAACCACTAGGCTACCCCACCGCCCCTTGGCATGTAGAGGTGAGGTGAGGTGGAATACGGTTTAACGTCGTACTTAAGAATATTTCGCTCATATGACGACGTGCATGCGTGTGTATGTGTATGTGTGGCTGCTTGTACTAGCCCAGACTTCAGCTGGTTTTATAGTGCTAGCTCACTGATATACCATGCTGCAGTGAAGCATGAATACCTAATTAACTCAGACACATTATACTGACTCCGAGCCGACCAGTCCTTGTTGTACCCATTAATGCCGAGTGCCAGGCAGGGACCAACAAGTACCATATTTGAACGTATTTTGGTATGACGCGGCCGGGGATCGAACCCACGATTTTCCCCATTATGGGCGGTAACATGTAAAGAGTTTGGTGAAGTGTAACACTGGGGAATTGAGTACTCTCAAAAATGCTGTTGAAATTATGACAATATGTTTTGCCGGGTGTACACACGGCGAGTATACTCGCCTAGAGTTATTTCCGCTTGAAAATAGACTAGCTTTGAAAAGAGTATTGAATGAATATGCATTTACGCCGCTTTATGCAATATTCCAGCAATATCGCGGCAGGGGACATCTGAAATGAGCTTCACATTGTACTCTAGTCTGTCTCACAGTCCCTGAAGCACATTATTTTCCCTACTGCCAAGCCCTCTCTGCAGTGCTAAAGCCCTAAATAAAGCAAGTCTAGATTTCCTCAGGTTCAGGTTCTGAATCTCTGGTCTCCCTGGGTCTCCTTTTCAATTTAAATGGGCTTGTTTGTTAGGATCAAACTTATATATATTCAGAGACTAAGCATTAGTCTAATTGTACTCATATGGGAAATGGAACCTGGATCTTCAGCCGTGACGAGCGGACGCTCTAACCATTAGGCTAGAGGACTGCACTGAGAACATAAGGTATAAATATATGCATCCATATCCGAAATAACAATCCATTAATTCTATCCGCGAAATGCGAATTAGCTTTTCGCACGCGTAATTGCATTGTTTCTTCTTGGGGTACTGGGGGCGGTGGGGTAGCCTAATGGTTAAAGCGTTCGCTCGTCATGCTGAAGACCCGGGTTCGAATCCCCACATGGGTACAATGTGTGAAGTCCATTTCTGGTGTCCCCCGCCGAGATGTTGCTGGAATATTGCTAAAAGCGGCGTAAAACCAAACTCAGTCAGTCAGTCAGTCTTGGGGTACTGAGGATGAAAATTGACCTCGATATACCGTGATTCTTTTATCCGAATGTCGACGACGTTGACATTTACTGTTACTTCTGAGGTTAGCACTTGATTCGATATAACCGAAACGATGTATCTGAATTCCATCTTTTGTGTTAGTTGTTACTGCTTCCAGGATGGACCCGTGAAGATCCCGGTTAGAATTTATCTTCAGTAACCCATGCTTATGGTAAGAGGCGGACCCGTGAAGATCCGGGTTAGAACTGATCTTCAGTACCCATGCTTGTCGTAAGAGGCGGATCCGTGAAGATCC